GAGTTGATTATTTATCTTATCAAGAATATAAAAAAAAAAGAACAAGTATTAGATGACACTTAGAAGGGTGGGCCGAGCCCAAATAGCTTGAAAGTGCAAGAAAAGCCCTTGGACTTGTTGGTTTCGAGCCCAAATACAAAAAAAAACTTTATGAGTTGACCATGGTCAACTCAAGGGGTTTGGGTCCCTCGTCGTTGCTATGATTCCGTATTTAGGCATTGAAACGTGTTGGATACATAGTACCTCTGTAATGCTTCATGTCCGAGATTCGAAATCTGGATAACCTTGACATTTCCCTACGACATGGTCACGTTACCTACCTCTCGCTTGTTAAAAATGAAAACTATCCTCATAGACCAACATAGATCCTTTTAGCATATTTTGTCCTCAGTTACGTGAATTTCAGAGAAATTCCTAGAAATATACTCAACATAGAATTGCTCTGAGTAAAGCAGAAGTTCCTATGAAAGAGTCACCAAAAAGGAATGTGCGTCTTGTTAGTATAAGTAGTAACTTTCGTTTTCGTTAAGTATGTCTTGGTCATTCTATCCTCAAGATCATTCTCATTAAGATGTGGTCTTAGTTCATTCATGTACCTCTATGTTACTCGGGTGTCGAATGTCCTCCTTGTTTGATCATACACATTGATACATATCTAAGCATGAAACCAACACTATAGACGTGTTGGTGTTTGTGGAAGATATTCTTAGTCGGTTGGTCTGCTGGTTTGATCATCTTCTTGGCTATCACATCTCGAGACTCACATAACAATTGTGTAGTGTTCGCTCACGACACTCGCCATAAATGGCCTATCGTATGGCTTCTACCTTTGTTACTGGAAAAAGTTTTTAGAAAATGGCGTTAGAGAATGTATTTTAGAAAGCGTTTTTTAGAAAGTAAGTGTTATAGACTACCAAACAACGAGAGACAACATATAATCTAGTAAGGTTTCTGCCTCCATTTGATTCCATCTCTGAGTTTTTTCGATTAAATTTTTAGGAGGTTTAGCAGGGATGCCATGTATCACGGTCATCTCAGTCTTGTTCAAGACGTGTTGTTCACGAGCGCATACCTATTCAAGCCCACACCACCGCCAGGGTTAAAATGTCAAACAATGTGCTCTAGGGGATATGACTAGTTGTCACTTCTTCCTACCTGGGTTATATGCTATCAAAATTGTCGTTATTGCCTAATTGCTTTAAGTTTATAACATTGTTTTTTTCAAATTGTTTTCAACGTATTTCTTCGCTCACGTTTTTTAAAACGTGACTCTAGACTCGAGCATACGCATATGAATTTGTTAACTTGTTTGCTAAGTTAGAATAAGCGTCGCACAATTGATGTCCCTCTACTACAAGGGTCGAATGTCACACCATGCATACAAATATATTTTTAATTTTTTTTTTTAAATCAATCAAATTAAATAAATTGTATTACAATTTAATTTTACGCTGAAAATTTTCATCATGATTCTAAAGCCAAATCGTTTTTCATATTCGTCTTTCCCAATCAAAAATAGGCGATTCTTGTTCGAGCGAGCGAGCGAGTTGGATCTGATTCCGTTGTCTGAGAATTGAAGCCTCTCGATAGGAACTACTCGACTGGCTTTTCCAGCAAGGATCTGGTTTGCACCTCCTTTGCTTCAATCTCAGTCTATCTTATTCGGGCCTTTAGCTTAAATGGTTTAGAGATAGCGAATATCAGAAGCGAGAAGAGAAAGTTGAGTGTGGAGCTGCAATGGAGGAGGCTGCTATTGACTTTGTGCTGGTACCACTTGGTCTCTTTTTGTTGACTGTCTACCACGCATGGTTGATCTTTACCGTAATTCGGCATCCTAGGCGGACGGTCATTGGCCTCAACGCCGAGTCCCGCCACCAGTGGGTGCTTTGCATGATGTCTGTAAGTTCCTGAGTTTCATAATCTCTTTGGAGGGAGGGATTTGTTATTGGAAATTGTGCGTCAGTCATTATCTTTTTCTAACTAGACAATTATGCAATAAGTGCTTTGTTAATTGAATTTTGATGTGTAAATTGTATCTAATCTGCTGGGTAATGATTTGATTCTGTTCTTGTGCTCTTATGGTCCCTGTTGTAGTTATGGAATTGTGTTTGAGAAAAGACAGATGAACGGGTTATGGGCAGTGTGCCAGTGAGGACACTGGGCCCCGAATGGAGGTGCCACGTTGGTTGGAGAGGGAACAAAACATTCATTATAAGGGTGTGGAAACCTCTTTTTAATAGATGCTTTTTAAAACCCATGAGACTGATGACAATACGTAATGGGTCAAAGCAGACAATATCTGCTAACGGTGGCCTCAGGCTATATATACATATAAGAGAACTATAGGAACTCTCAAGCTAACCAGCCTTTTTTAGAGGGCATAATTTTATGAAATGAAGATGATAGCATGAGAAAATCATCTTCATGAGTGGATATTGTCTTTCTTTAGCGAAACCACAAATTCCTATGAAAATCGAAAGTTCTAACATAGTGTGAGATCCCACATTGGTGTAGAAATCTCTCCCTAACACATGCGTTTTAAAAACTTTGAGGGGAAGCCTGGAAGGAAAGGCTAAAGAAGACAATATATACTAGTGATAGGTTAGGTATGTTACACTTAGCCTCCATCTATGCTCAATTCTACAACAACAATCTAGACGTTCAGACGAATCTCTACTTGTGCATAGCTCAAGGGCTCCGTTAAAGTAGATATCCCAACATGATGTTCACCATTAAATGAGCCACTTCTTGTCACAGAAATCACGGTTTTCCTTGTTATTTTCATATAACTAATACAGTTTTGCATATCTTTAGTTCGAAGATTTCTGTCCTGCATGCTTGAGGCTTGTATGTGAATCGATGTTTGATTTTCAGGATCCAGTGAAGAATGGTGTTTTAGCAGTTCAAACAATACGAAACAACATAATGGCATCTACACTTTTAGCCACAACAGCAATAACTCTCTGTTCGTTAATTGGTGTTTTTGTGACCAGCTCATCGGACACGAGTAATGCAAAGCTTCATTTAATTTATGGCAACAAGTCTGACCTTTGTACTTCAATCAAGTACTTCTCAATCTTGCTGTGCTTCCTTGTTGCTTTTCTATGCAATGTCCAGTCAATAAGATACTATGCTCATGTAAGTTTCTTGGCCACCGTTCCTACATGGAGAGATCAACAAGACTCTATTCAATATGTTGCCAGAAACTTGAATCGAGGCAGCTTCTTCTGGTCCGTTGGATTGCGAGCATTCTACTTCTCATTCCCTCTCTTCCTCTGGATTTTTGGGCCAATTCCTATGTTTGCTTGTTGCTGCATTTTGTCATGTGTTCTCTATTTCTTGGACACAACTACCAGTTTTACACGGAAGCTTCACACCAGCTCACTGAGGGACGACGGTAACAATGATCGTCCCGAATCAACTCGTCAAGGGTCGTGTTGAAATCTCATAATACCCATGATCTAGGCAGTTCTATGAATGTATTAACATATAGTCATTAGAAATAATTGCTCAAGCTGATATCCTGATGGTTGAAGACACCATAGTAGATTAACTTGTCTATATAGCAAGTTTGGAATGTAATATATTTGAATGTGTTTCTTCCTAATGCTTCTATTTGAACATCTCTACGAAATGAATATGTTCGTTCGTATACGGTTATCGATTCAAAAGAGTGATTACTTCTTCATCTTTATCATGTTTCCATTACAGGTAAAGCTATGGCTGTTATTTGGTAACGTTTTGTCTCATAGAATTCACTTAATTTGTGCAGAACAGTAACATTTGCTTTAGATTGTGGAAGCACAAAGACAGAGACAGAGACAGAGAGACGCCAGGTAAGATGAAAATAACATAACAGAATGTGTTTGTTTGTAACAAAGCAATGATATGGCCAAATGCAGCCATGGAAGCTTTGTGGTTGACAACACTGCCACAGCGCACTGCAGCAGCTTTGGCAGAGCCAATAAGGTGGCGTTGACAAGCCCCCCTCTGCAGTGCCAAACACATTCTATGTGATTCTGACTCGACAATGTCCATTTGGGGCTGTCGCTCTTATCACCATCTCCAAGCTATTTTCTGGAGTGGCCCAAGAATATTAATATGTGCAAGTCTTGGAGTGGAACCACGCTGTTATTGGTGTTGTTTTTGTGGCGTTTGTCTTAGATAATGGAGCACTTTTTATTTTTGGTAACATATGGAAACTCATATCTGGACCTCTTGGGTTGCCTCTTGCATGAGAAATATGATTTGCCAATTGGTTTGACTGGCAGTTTATGTAGATATTTGACAAATCACCATCCAAGCCCGCTCGCAGATATTGCTATTAGCCTCATGGTTTTAAAACGCATATGTTAGGGAGAGGTTTCCATACCCGAATGTTTTGTTCCTCTCTCCAACCAATATGGTATCTCACAAAAACTCACTGTTTTGTTCCTTTCTCCAACCAATATGGTATCTCACAATAACTCACTTACATAAAATACCTACATAAAAACGCGTTTGTTAGGGAGAGGATTTCATACCCTTGTAAGGAATGCTTTGTTCCCTTCTCCAACCAGTATGATATCTTAGATATCTCACAATAACTCACCTACATAAAAAATGTGTCGATTAGAGAGAGAGGTTTCCATACAATGTTTTGTTCCTCTCTCCAACCGATATGGTATCTCACAATAACTCACCTACATAAAAGTTCTTTTACTATCTTAGCTTTTAAGGTAATACCTGCAAGTTTGCTTTGATGTTCATGAAGTCAAACAATTGATGCGAAAAAGTTCAAATTTGAGAGTAAAAAACAAAAAGGCAATAGTAAAGTTTCTTGAACGAGATCTATATTTGGGCCTCGCAGAGCGCTTCCTCGACTTGGAGTTGCTCGATTCAACGATACATTCATCACATTCTCAAGGACTTAAGAAAAATCAACTCAATTCTTGGCCTTTTTTTTATGTATCGAAACAAATACTGATATGAATCATAACATCGGATCCTTATCTATGTTCATTAAGAGAGAGAAATAGAAGGCAGTTTGAATATTATGATTCCAAAGTTGGGTACATGTTATGAATGAAGGAGATGAGTTAAGTGAGTGAAAGTGGGTGGAGGGGGGAGACCACTAGGGCAGAGTCGAGTGGAATCTTTCCTCTTTTGTGTGCTTCTTATTTGCTCCAACAACACACACAAAGGGCTGTCACTGTCTCTCATTAGCTACTCATCAATCCACCAACAAAAACAACTCCTTCTTCATGCATAACAAAGAACACTAATAAGGATTATGTCTCTTAATCCACATGCATAACATGGTGAAACATTAATACATCATTAATATCAATCTTGTCTCAAACCCACTGGATCAAGATGTCTGAGAAGGATCCGTGTGAGCCTCGTTTTTTTGCTTCTCTTTTGAGGAATATTCCTCTTTACTCTCTTAAGATATGCTGCACCCCTTCATCATTTCCTGCATTCATTTCCAAACACAAGAACAAACAACATCATCAACTCATTTGAAAGGAAATTTTTAATCTTATACAAATACATCAAGTGTATCTATGATCCTTTCTTTGCTCAATTCACCAAAAAATGAGTCGTTTGACCGTTAGCAGCAGATATTGTCTCCCCTCAAGGTACTATGAAGAGGGTCTTGCTTCATCCGGTGACTGACTCTGATAAGGAATGTTTCGTTCCCTTGTCTAGCCGATATGAAACCTCACAATCCATAGGAGGACCAGAAGCGTTAGAAGATGAAAAGGGAAAGTTGAAGAAAAGATGTAAGAATGTGAAACTCAAAACCCTTGCCAAACAAGACTTGAAAATTGCACAATTTGAACTAAAACACAAAACACCCAACACAGGAATCAGCTCATTTCTTAGGACAAACAGCTCACTAATCGCTCAAGTGACACAAATTCACAACTTTAAGATAATGCTTGAGAGTTTTAAAAGACTTTTACATAGAACAACACATAAAATTAACTACAAATCAAGAAAAAAGAGACAGCAAAGCTAAAGAAGGTGATGACAGAAGCATAGAGAGCACAAATGGAGTGAGATGCACAGTGGTCTGTAAAATGTCTATCAAAAACAAAAGAAATTGCATATCATCATCTGTGCTCTCTATCTTCTGTCAACAACATATCACCTATATGTTCCTCCTTCACCCCCAAACGAAGAACAAGTAATAAACAAAGAAAAAGAAGAAGAAAAAGATGAATGATTGAGTGCCTACCAAAGGACTCCCTACAAACGGTGGCTATTTATAGCAAACTTTGAGAAGAATTTGGGGCAGAGAATGGTTAAAAAAGTAGATACTTTGAGATTCTTTTTTTCCCTCTCTTTATTGCAAATTCAACCGTTTCTCACGAGATCAAAATACCCCAAATTAGGCACTCACACGAGAAAGTGGAAGAATTCAGCTGAAAAACAGTAATTTTCAATGTACTGTGTGGTACAGACTGAGTTTTGCCATAAAATCTGCACAAAAAAATCAACTCCAACACAGTCTGTTATGATTCTCATCTTCTTTTTTTTTTTTTTCTTTTTCTATTGACTAATTCTTTGAAATGAATTAGACCCATTTGAATTAAGGTAGTCAAGAACAAAACCCATATTTTAATTTAGGGTTTACACATTAAAGTTCCCACCTTTTCAATCACAAACAAATCTAGGGTTTATGTTTTTGTTTTTTTTTTTTTTTTTTTTTTTTTTTTTTTTTTTTTTTTTTTTAAAACCCTTTTTTTAGTTAACCTTGTGAGAGTAAAGATTTGTGTTAAAGATTGGGTGTTCGAACTTATCTAACTAGTTGAACTATGCTCAAATATTGTTGATATCTCGTGAAATGTGAATATTATTCTAAAAAAAGTAGAGGGGGAGTGAAGAAGGTATAACGTGACATGTTGTGTTTGAATTTATTCTTTCAAAGAAGCACATATGCATATACTCGTGAGAGTAGAGATTCGTGTTAGAGGTCGAGTGCTCAAACCCATCTAACCAGTTGAACTATGCTCAAATATTTGTTGATATCTGTCGTAAAATGTGAATATTATTCTAAAAAAGTAAGGGAGAAAGAAGGAGGTATAACGTGACATGTTGTGTTTGAATTTATTCTTTCAAAGAAGCACATATACATATACTCGTGAGAGTAAAGAGGTCGAGTGCTCGAACCCATCTAACCAGTTGAACTATGCTCAAATATTGTTGATATCAGTCGTGAAATGTGAATATTATTCTAAAAAGTAAAGGGGGAGTGAAGGAGGTATAATGTGACATGTTGTGTTTGAATTTATTCTTTCAAAGAAGCACCTAATTTGAGCGAAGAAAAGATGTATATCAACTTTAAACGTCGGACCCAACCACATTCTATCAGCCACAAAACAGTCTCAACTTTAAATGGATGGTTGGAGGAGTCACCATCATCATCCCTTCTCAAGCACTAACTAAGAGGGTTTATCACAGAAGGCATCAAAATTGATATCTAGAAGTTAAGAAAACCATATGAATGAGTAGCTAAGCTGCTAAAAAGGGTCGTCTTTGTGGGTTTAAGTTTGATATTCTCTGTGATGAGTGGAGACCTTATGAATAGTGTTATGCATCACAAAGATTATGCTTTCAAAAGAGATTTGTATTTGCAGTGGGAATGTGTTGTTAAATCACTCCCTCAATAATTGGGTTAGGGTAAATTTAGCTTTGACTCTGTAAATTATTACGAGTCTCGAGGATCAAACGATCCAAACCTTTCGAAATTTGACAGCTATTTATTGTTTTAGAAAGAAAGTGTTCTATTATATAAGATTGATCTTCGAGGCATGTTTCAAGCATGTTTCTTGATTTTGAAAATAAATGATGAAACTGAGGTATAGAGGTTAAAAGTGTAACCGCGAAAGTTTATCGTTAGCAGATATTGTCTGTTTAGGCCCGTTACGTATCGTCATCAGGCTCACGGTTTTAAAACGTGTCTATTAGATAGAGGTTTATTGTGAGATCCCACATTGGGAAGAGAAGAAAACATTTTTTATAAGGGTGTGAAAACCTCTTCTTAGTAGAGGCATGATGTCAATAGTATTAGAGGTAACAGAAGGCTTAGGTTGTTACAAGTGGTATTAGAGACAGACACTTGACAATGTGCCAACGAGAAGACTGAGCCTTGAAGGAGGTGGACACGAGGCAGTGTGCCAGGAAGGACACTGGGGCCCAAAAGGTGGTATATTGGGGAGTCCCACGTCGATTGGAGAATAGGTGAGGATTCTAGACCCCGAAGTGAGGTGGATTGTGAGATCTCACATAAGTTGGAAAAAAGAACGAAACATATTGGGGGATCCCAGTCGATTGGTGTGGAAACCTCTTCCTAGCATACGTGTTTTAAAAACCCTAAGGGGTAACCCGAAAAGGAAAGCCCAAAGAAGACAATATCGGCTAGTAGTGGGCTTGGACTATTACATTTCCACGTTGTTTTAAAGAATGTTTCGTCCCCTCTATAACTGATGAGGATCTCGACTGGCCACAAATGTACATTCTTAGTCTCGAGAAGCTATTAAGCCACGAGTAAACCTAAAAACGTAAGGGATAATGAGAAGAAACATATATTCTTTTGACATATTATGATGCTCCTCCAGTGGAACAACGCCCATTTGGGTATCAAGCTAAATTCGTATGGAGCAAGTTGGGAGGTGAAAGAACAAAAGGTAAGATTGAAAGGCATCCCTCAACACACATTTCTTATCTGTTGTCCTTCTATTAATCACAGCTTACTGAATAAAGTGAGGAGCTTTCAAATGGGGCGGTGCTGTCATTTTCACATTACCAAAGGAGGAAGACGACGATGGAAAACCTCCAACATAACACGTGTCGACACCCCACTTTCACATTCATTATTGACTCACTCTATGGCCCTTGACAGTGAGTGCCACTCATACCTTACTAAAATAAACAAAACAAACTCATTACGTATCGCGGTTAGCCTCACGGTTTTAAAACGCATCTATTAGGGAGAGGTTTCCACACCCTTATAAGGAATGTTTCGTTCCCCTCTCCAATCGATGTGAGTAGGTATTGTCTGCTATGATCCATTACATATCACCGTCAGCCTCACGATTGTAAGACGCATCTACTAAGGAGAGGTCTCCACACCCTTATAAGGAATGTTTCATTCCCCTCCAACCGATGTGAGTAGATATTGTCCGCTATGATCTATTACGTATCACCGTCAGCCTCATGGTTGTAAGACGCGTCTACTAGGGAGAGGTCTCCACACCCTTATAAAGAAATGTTTCGTTTCCCTCTCCAACCTTTGTGAGTAGATATTCTCTTCTATGACCCATTACGTATCACCGTCAACCTCATAGTTTTAAAACGTATCTACTAGGGAGAGATCTTAACACCCTTGTAAGAAATGCTTCGTTTCCCTCTCTAACTGATGTGAGTAGATATTGTCCGCTATGACCCATTACGTATCGTCGTCAGCCTCATGGTTTTAAAATGCGTCTACTATGGAGAGATCTTCATACCCTTATAAGAAATGTTTCGTTTCCCTCTCTAACCGATGTGAGTAGATATTGTCCGCTATGACCCATTACGTATCATCGTCAGCTTCACGGTTTTAAAACGTGTCTATTAAGGTGTAGAATATGAGACCTACAAGGTTCGTGAAGAAAATTTGTCTAATTGGATTACGGAATGGAAGATAAAAAAATCGGAAGAAAATAGATCGAAACCAGAATAGACTTGGAAAATGGAAAAGAAAAAAAAAACGCAGGAGAGAGGGTGGAGGCCGCCGCCCGTCGGTCGGCGTGCGGAGGAGAGTGGCGGAACCAGTGAACGACATGAGTCGATCACCGGCTGGTGAGGCGTGTCCTCCCCCGGCAGCGGACACGCGTCAGGCGCGCGGATTCGGCCGGCCCGATCCGCGCCGCACTCGAAGCGCCCGATCCGGCGCCTGCTCGGGAAGCAGCGTGTGGGCATGCGCGCGTAGTGACCCTCCATGGCGCGTGAGGCACCGTTTTTCTTCCCATTCGGTCTCTGTTGGCTTGTTTTTCGCCCCGATTTTGATGCTGACCTTATTAATGTGTGAATTAGGACCTGTGAAGGAAATTACAGAATTGTTGGAATCCATTCCGTTAAAAAAACTCGAACTCGGGAAGGCACGCTTCAGCCAAACAAGTAGGCATTTGGATTCCCATGAGCAGTACTTGTAGGAACCGCTAGGAATAAGCATGCATGCTACCACCCATTAACTTAGCTAGCCGGACCTAGTATATTAGTATGGAAATTGCGAAAATGAAGTGATTAAGGAAAGCTAGATATGAAATGTTTATTAAATCTGTTTGATTGAGATTCTGATAAATTATGTATGCATGAGGAGGATGAGAAACTTGTGAAATCTGCGCTCCGAGTAAAGATGGACGTTATCTTCCCGTTGAGCATGTTTGTTAATATTCCCATTAACGTGGTATCTTTCTTGATGAATAGGAAGAAATTACGAGCTTAGATTAGGGTGCTTGTGACTAAGTAGGCTAGATGAGACCCTAGATTGGGGGACCTCTAGAATACCGTGCAATTAGGCCCGCGAAATGATTACCGGCGGATCCAGAGCCCAGAATTTCAAACCCGATAGGTTTGTGAGACCAGGCATGAGAATCCTTGAGATACATGAATCCAAGTCTAAGCCACCAAGTTTCACCCTAGAATAATAGGTCACCACGGTAACTGTAGGTAGCCCGCTAGAGTTGAGCAGTGTAGATAGTGTCATCAAAACCTCCACTTTCCTCTCTCCTCCGATACCATACCGTCGAGACAGAGCTCCGGTACGGTGATCGTTGAGCTTTGCAGATCCGGATAGGGAAGTGTGACAGGTGCCCAGCCCTAGTGGTGATAGCTAAGGGTCTTCTGAACAGGACTTCTGGGCCGTAGAAACCCGTCCCTGAGAGGGGGACATGGAGCCACCTAGGATGACTCAGTAGCTGACCGACACATAGGGGGTTGCACCCCGTTTAGTGGATGTATGGTTCTGTGTGAGGGTCGTCAGCTAACCTCCATGGATGATGTTCAGAGAGAGTTACGTATTCAGATCCAGCCATACGATCCCCTCAGATTTACTTATGAGGTCGCGCCTCACCTCAGGACACTAATCATATCACTGCTTAAGATGGGCAAGCCTCCTAAGATACAGAAACGAGAGTTGCAGCTTAGATCACTCTCCTTAGAAACCCGAGAGAGACCGTGGATACCTACCAAGATAAGGATGCGAAAAGAGCCTACAAGTAGGTTGCTTACTGAGTATATTTTTATACTCACCTCTTTCCCCCCCCCCCCCCCCCCCCCCCCCCCCCCCCCCCCCCCCCCCCCCCCCCCCCCCCCCCCCCCCCCCCCCCCCCCCCCCCCCCCCCCCCCCCCCCCCCCCCCCCCCCCCCCCCCCCCCCCCCCCCCCCCCCCCCCCCCCCCCCCCCTTTTTTTTCAAGTACCGGTCGAGGTGAAGGGGGGTGTTTTGTACTGTCACAGAGGGGTGTCGTTCCGAAGCGTCAGTCCCTTGTCGGTCTTTTAGAGTTCTTTGTCCGTTTTCATATTTATAGTCTTTTGTATTTCATTTTTACATAGCAATTTCATTGGTAATATTTTCGAAACAAATCTTCTCTTTCTTTTGTTTTAATTGAATGATATTTTTTTGTATTTTACTCTTCTTTTCTTTAACTCTTATTTTCTTTTCTTTTTTGTTTGTTTTCGATTTCGTCTTTTGATTCACGGTCTGATTTTCGAAGCTTGAAAATCGGGTCAGTGACACTTAAAATTTGATTCCTCACTCCAAACATTCACACTATTCTCTTACAAATCGGTGTTGGGAAGCAATGGATTTGAGTTGTTGATAAGGGCCTTTGCTTTCCCATTCTGGATGTCTACACATTCAAAATTGGTATGCATCATAGATAGATAGATTGATACCTCTTCCAAGACATGTCTAGTCCCCTTTCTATTCACCTAACCTTTTTCTTTGCAGCCTAAGTCCAATCAACTCAACCTAATATAATTCCCGTGCAGAAGGCTCTACGAGAAGCTACGAGCTTAGATTTTGATAGAACTCCAACGAACGAGATAAAGAAACTTATAAGTGGAAAAGTAGTGTTTATAAGCTTCCGAACAACAAAAAGTGTTCTTAATCATGTTGAAATCGTTTCGAATTTTGAAGCTTTGTATCTATTTGAACGCAAATGTTCTCAAAAGATTTTAAAGATTTAATTCTCTTCATGGACTTCTTTTAGGTTTAGATATTGTTTTAGTCCTTTTTAACTTTTCATAATTTGATCCTTCAGCGTTCTTCAAAATCTAACTAAATCTCGTCTGATGAAAGCTTCATATCGAGGGTGTACACTCGTTTCCTTGGGCTGAGTTGAGAAAATTTGTGGGTTGGTTGGGTTGATAACTCGAACAACTCAAATATAGTTCACAACCCAACCCGAAAGTCTGTATTGGATTGAGTTGTTGAGATTTTTTTTTAAAAAAAGATTATATTTATCAACCATACATATTATATCAATAACTAAAATTTCATCAAAACTCAAATATTAAATATTCACAAGTCTAACACATTACTAACATTGGTTACAAATCTCAAATATTCTTAATCTTCGTAATAATCTTAGGTAAGGTTGAAAGAGATTGTAACCCTATTTTTGAGTTAGTCGGATTGACCCAATATATAAACGGTCAAGTATGTTCGGCAAACCATTTGACACTTATGGGAATAATTCAATCTACTTTATTAGATAGAAAAAGTATTCATTTAAAGCATTCAAGAGGAAGGAGGGGCCCACCCAACTCGATTTCCAAAAAACAAAAAAGGCGAGCTGAATATTGAGAATACATCTATATTGGTATGAGGTCTTTTGGGAAACTGGAAAGCAAAACCATGAGAGTTTATGCTCAAAGTGAACAATATCATACCATTGTAGAGAGTTTTGGTTCTTAACATAGTATCAGAGTCATGCCCTTAACTTAGACATGTCAATCCTCAAATGTCGCACAAAAAAGTTGTGAGACTCAAAAGTGTAGTCAAAAGTGATTCAAGTGTCGAACAAAAGATGTACTTTGTTCGAAGACTCCGGAGAATGAGTTGAACTTTTATTAAGGGGAGAGGCTCCACACGACTCAAAGGGAGTTCCACATTGACTGATTTAGAGATTGATCATAATTTTTAGAAAATTATTAGTGACACCAACCATCTTTCACCGACTCATGCCCACCCTGTTCCATTCCTCGGCTATGAGGCCGGCACCCACTCGGCCGCCCCTCCTCTCCACATAGTCTCAACTTTTTTCCTGTTAAGTAAATCACTAGGTTGAAATTCATTCTTAGTTTTTAGGTAACTATCTTTTCTGTTAAACCCACACAATTATAGTGGGTGGGAAGTCCACGTGGGGTCGAAGTTCTTAATTAAGTTAAGTTGTCCATTGCTTTTCATTTTTATGATTAAATTTGTTATTTAAATATTCAACTGAATGAGAAATAATTAATCGTGTCTCGAGCACAAATACCTTTGTTTTTGGTTATTTTCTTTCGAAGTTTTCTTGGGCCGTTTTTTACTCCGTCAAGTTTTTCTCTCAATAGCTTTTTAACCATTTTCTCCAAAGGAAAATGTGGCGCCATTGTTGCTGCTTACTCTCCGTTGCACTCATAATGGCAATGATCCCACGTTTGAACACCGCTGTAATAAACAAGAATCAAGCCATCAAAACCAAATCTTTTCTCACCCCATTATTCACCATGACGCCTGGTTCAGTGGTCGAGAGATTCTACTACAGCACCAACTTTCCCAAAGCCCATATTGCCCTGAAGGGCTTCGACGTTGAAGTTGTAGACGACGCAAGCAACCCTGTCCCGCTCTTTGAAACGTATTTGCACCACTGGGCAATCTCCAGGTAATTCATAGCTGGTATTCTATTTAAATCTTGTGAACATTAATGAATATTAGACTTTCGATTCCACTTTTGTTTCTCGTTCTTAACAGGTATTATCAACACAAAGATGCAAAAGATCCCAATACAAACGTTTCATTCACTCAAATTAATGAACCAAATTTCATGATTGCGGGAAACAATGGAGTGTGCCAAAAACATGTTTTTCCACAATTTTATGGGACAGGGGCTGATTCAAGAAGAACATCCTCATTTCTTCCGAACCCATATGGAATTGAAGTTGGGAATGAAGTGGAAGTTCCTTTAGGGTATGAAGAAAAATGGGTATTAAATCTCCATGCCATTGATACTCGGGGCGTGGAGGACAGACTGGGATGCATTGAGTGTCAACGCCATTTGTATAATGTTACGAAGGATGAGGTTGGGATGGCATTGGAAGTAGATTATAAAGGAGGTTTGAGATGTTGTTATGATAAAACTAAGTGTAAACTGAGGGAAAGTTATGAGGGAGGAGAAGAAAGGAGTTTGTATGTGAGATATACTGTGAAGTGGATGGATTGGGATGATGATCTTGTGATTCCCCTAAAGGTCTATATATTTCATGTCACTGATACTTGGAATCCATTGACAGGCATCACTGGAGCTCCCGAAGAACACAATTGTCTTGTAAGTCCACTAATTCCCTCTTTCTACCTAGTATACTTGTGAGATTGACAGTCATACGTAACGGACCAAAATGGACAATATTTACTAGCGGGTAGACTTGGGCTGTTACAAATGGTATTAGAGCCAAGCACTAGGCGGTGTGCCAACGCCTGGTAAGGGTGTGGAAACCTCTAGATGCATTTAAAAACTGTGAGGCTGACGGTCATATATAACGGACTAAAGCGGACATTATTTACTAGCAGTGGACTTGGGTTGTTGCAAGGATGGTGTGCCAACAAGGTTGGGCCTCCAAGAGGGTGGATTGTGAGATCCCACATTAGTTGGAGAGGAGGGGAACAAACTATTCCTTATAAGAGTGTGAAACCCTTCCTAGTAAACACATTTCAAAACTGTGAGACTGACATCCATACGTAACAGGTCAAAGTAAACAATATTTTCTAGCAGTTGATTAGAGCGGTTACAAATGGTATGAGAGGCAAACATGGGGTTGTGTGCCAGTGAGGACGTTGGACCCCTAAGAGGGTGGATTGTGAGATCTCACATCGGTTGGAGAGGGGAACGAAACATTTCTTATAAGGGTGTGGAAACCTCTTCATAGTAGACGCATTTTAAACCATGAGGCTAACGACGATACGTAACCGGCCACAACGGACTATTTGCTAGTGGTGAACTTGGTCTATTAGTGAAATGTTGATGATTTAGTGAGATTAATATATAAGGCGTGTTCGATAAAGTTTCCATTTCTTTCGTTCAAGCAGGACTGAAAGTATCCGTGTTACTGAGTAGCTAGAATGTCTTCAGCCCACTCAACTTCGTTTTATCGTTGTTTCTATTTTCAAAAAACTAGTTATCAAACGGGACCTTAAACCTAGCTATTGTTTTCGGGTTTTTGTATAGGTGGAGTATAACGTAGAGGCTTGCTCCCCTACAAACAAGCCTGATGATGAATGTAAAGCTACCAAAATGGTGAGGCTAATCTCTCCCAGCAGTGGCTATCTCATATATGGGATGGCTCATCTTCATATTGGTGCCATTGGCTCAATGCTTTATGGAGAGGTAATCTTTTTGTGTCGTTTCTTTATGGTTATGTCGTTTACGCCTCTAAACCTGAAAGCATAGGGATTAAACTTAACGAAAATGAACGTAACGTGTATCAGGACGGAAGGCTGTTATGTTCTTCGTCTCCGATATATGGACATGGAAGTGAAATAGGGAATGAAGATGGATATGTGGTTGGAATGTCAACTTGTTATCCACAGCCAGGCTCTGTCAAAATCAATAAAGGAGAAATGTTGAGTCTTATATCTAAATATGAGCCTGCACAGAACCACGTTGGGGTTATGGGCCTCTTTCATATAATGGTTGCACAAAAGCTACCAAACTCATTGCTTCACATGGTACCATTCAAGCTTGCTGATGATACCACCTTGTAAGCCTATCATACTTGAGTGATATCCATTACATAATATTATGTGTGTTCTAGCAAAGTCCTATGGTTTTGATGTTGGAGTTTATTGGTATAGGTTTGTTACAAGCCTAAGATTATGAACCCTAAATGTATTAAGCTTATGATTGAAAAAGAATATGGAACAAAAGTTTGGGTTTGTGACGGAGGTTGATATATAAATGACTCGACATGGACATGAGAAAGTTCATGTCTCAATAATACTCAAATGGATGGATGTTCCGATCATAAAAGTTGACTCATGGTCAATAAGTGTGCATGAGCGAGCAGCGAATGCTGATGATGTCTCTGAGGCTTGGGATTGCATCATGAAACATCAGTTGGACTCAAGAGTTCTTGGTTAGTACTGTACTGGGTCGGTATGTCCCAATATGCTCTAGTTTGCATCAGAATGCCTTCGTAAGCGTTATAATGCTATGATACGTCTCGATAGGTGTTGAAATCACCTTGCAAACTTCATTTGAACGTTACAAGGCTGTTTTTACCTCTCGAAGGATCGAAACACATCCTAATGAAGTTTCAATCAATGTAGAAGTGTGTGGACGGTATTATAGGGAGATGTTTTGTTTCCCTCTCCAACCGATGTGGGATCTCACAATTTATCCTCTCGGGAACCAACGTCTTCACGGGCACACCTCACGATGTCAGACTTTAATACCATTTGTAACAGCCCAAGCTTACTACTAACAGATATTATCCACTTTGACTCATTACATATCGCCATCAGTCTCACAATTTTAAAACGCATCTACTAGAGAGAGGTTTCCACACCTTTATAAAAAAATGTTTCGTTTCCCTCTCCAACCAATACTCTTCTTCCTTTTCCATTCCCATATATTGGAGACGAAGAACATGCTTTGCCATCAACGTCGTACTCAATCTATACGTACAAAGCATAGCAAAAAACGATCATTTATCGATCTCGAAACTTTTGAGTTTGTGTCTTATGAGTCCCACATCAGTTGAAGAGGAGAACGTAACATTTTTTTTTATAAGAGTGTAGAAACTTCTCCCTAGCAGACTTGTTTTAAAACTGTGAGTCTAACGACGATATGTAATGAGCTAAAGTGGATAATATCTACTAGTACTGGGTTTGGACTGTTACAAATGGTATCAAAGTCAAGTTACCGAATAGTGAGAGGCACTAGTCGGAGTGGGACACTTTAAAAATTTCATAGATATTTCCCGAATATAGCAGTGCCAGTCAAAAATATTTTTAAACTTTTGTTGAAACAGAAAGTTATTAATGAGACTTTTTAAAATTCAATAATATTTTAATAAATACTATTAAAAATTACGATATGCACGGTTTTCATTTAAAACTAACTGTAAAGTGTTTTTTAGACATCGTTTACAAAATTTTTATTTTAGCTAAGGAAAGCTAAAAAGAAATTAGACCATTAAATACAAATGAATGTTATCAGCTGTCTAAAAAATCGAACCCAAACCAGACCCGAGACCCCAAAAAAAGAAGGGAAAGGGCATGGAAATGGGTAGGAGAAGATACGACAGGCTGAGAAGTGAAAATAATGGTGAAGTTGATGGTGAACTAATGAAGAAGAAGAAGAAGAAGAAGAAGGTTGTGGAGCTATTGAAGAAAATGGGAGGAAGCCTATAATTAGGGTTTATGCTGCCCTTCAACACCTTCATACCTACTTATGAATCAATCATGCTTTGCTTTGCTCACAAGTTAATGCTGCCTCAATAATGGTAATTCATCTTCATTTTTGTGCTTAGTTTAGGGTTAATAACCCTAATTACCGTCCCAAATTCTAGGGTTCTTATGTTCGAGATAAATGTCCTTTCTTACCTAACTTTTCTTTCTCATTTGTAGAGACTTGCCTCGACATTAGGACCTCCACGTTTCTTTGACCGATAGGTCCTCGTAACCGGATAGATCCAGTGCATGATAGGTAAGGGTCTTGATTATCAACAAATTTTCTTTAAACTCTTTATGTTTCCTGTTGTCCCCGTGAAGATGGTTGTAAGTTATGTCCTCTATCACGACCTCGAATGAAACTATTCTATGGAACCATGTATTGTGTGAAATGTAGATTATTGTCGTTCTTAATCGACACTCGAGAATTAAGCTCGATGTATAAGTTTATTGGAAATGTTAAAAAAAACTAATATGATATTGCATTAAATTAATGTATTTACTTATTAAAAAATAGTTTCGCATGAGTTACTAGGAACCAAATGAGCTAACCTCGGAGTGAAAATATAACTTTAATCAACATATATTCTAACGTTTTATCTAAAATTTAAATATAATAATTAATTAAAATAAAATTATATCAATTAATTAGAATTTTATGTGCTATTTAAAAATAGTTCTTTTAAAAAAATTAAAATTAAGGGATTTTTTTTTATCTGAATTAATTACACAAATTTATGAAAAAGAAAAATATTTAAATGAAGAAATATTATCATACCATAAAATTATAATATAAAGTAGTTTAAAATTAAAAATTAAAAAAATAATAATAATAAAATAAAAGAATGGGCAATTTTAGAAGTTTTAATAAGGTAATTTTTAGGGGGAAATTAAACTAAAACGGTAGTGTTTCATCCAAATCTAAAGCAAAATTCCATTTCCCATTTCCCATCAGACAAATTGAATTCATTAGTGGTTGACTATTATGGATCCACCACCACCGTCCGGTGCGACAACGGCCGCCGTGGCCGCCGCCGCTAACTTTGCAGCGACCTCCATGCAGCACAACAACTATCAGGATTCCGTAGAATCCTCACCCCGGTCCCACAATGCCGACTGGGACGACCCTCTCCCGCCAGTTCCAGGCGCCAAGCTCCGCCTCATGTGCAGCTATGGCGGCCACATTATCCCTCGTCCTCACGATAGGACCCTCTGCTACGTCGGCGGCGAGACCCGTATTGTCATTGTTGACCGTCATTTCGCTCTTTCCGACCTCTGCATGCGCCTCTCCCGAACCCTCCTTAATGGCCGCTCATTCACCCTCAAGTATCAGCTCCCTCACGAAGATCTCGATTCCCTAATTTCAATCGCGACGGATGAGGATCTGGAGAACATGATCGAAGAATATGACCGAATCGCAATGGCTTTGCCGCCAAAACCTTTGCGAATCCGTTTGTTCCTCTTCTTCGCCAAGCCTGAAACCGTGGCTTCTATGGGTTCGTTGCTCGACGATGCCAAACACGAAACGTGGTTCGTTGATGCCCTAAATAACTCTGCTGTGATGATTCCGAGAGGGCTATCCGATTCGGCTACCATGGAGTGTATGGTGAATATCGACGCGGATCATGGGAGTGATTCGTGTAATGATTTGGAAAATGAAGGTCGCGATTCTCTTGGGCATATTGACAAACAGATTGTGACGAACGGTAATTCCGCCCAAGATGTGCAATCGATTCCTGATTCTCCTGCTGTGGAAAATGGTTCTTCGTTTGGTTCGTCTTCTTCTGTACCATCAATGTCCAACTTGCCGCCGATACGCGTCCATGTAGAGGAGATGGAGGCCAGAGTTCAAGATCCGAAGGCGGGAGTGGAGGATCAGTTTGGGCAGATGAATTTTGGCGTACCTCCAATTCCAACGGCGTTGGCTCCTGCCGTAACTATTCAATCAGGTGCTATTTCAAATCATGCGAATGCTAATCGGGCTTTTCCCGACAACGAGAGACCGGACCAGATGGGTACGGTGGTGTATCGGAAACCTCCATTGCCATTGCAGACCTTGCAAAACAGGGCTGTTGCTGATCCTGCCGTTAGCGGTGGTTTTAGTCTACCGTCGCCGGATTCTGCTGCCAGGTTTTGCTTACTCCGATGCAAATTAATCATTCAGCTGGAATCTGAGTTTTGATTTTCAAAATGCTTTTTCTGATATTCTCCCAATTGCTTGTTTCTTCTCTGGATCCCTTCGTTTTTCAGAAATCCTGTGTTAAGCTTATGAGCTTCCTAGTTCTCGGTAGAAAATTGTTCATTAATAGCTACTCTTGTGAAGCATGTATGATTGTTGTTATTTTGATCTTCACCATGGCAGTTCTGGTTATTGTCTTCTTGATAGTTTGAAGATTGATTCATACTTGTTCTTGAAAATTGAAAATGGAAACCATGTTCTTCATTCTAAAATGGTTCTTGGTGTTTGTAACAGCGAAAGTAGCATAACATTTGCAAATTCTCAGTCCAAACCAATGTATTTTCAAGATCAAATCATGAGAGACAACACGGTCCCAGCCATTCCCATCGCAGAAAGCGATGGTTTCATGGCAAGTCAACAAGTACCAATTCAACAACACCTCCATGACCCTGCTTATGTATTAACATCACAATTAGATCAGAAGCAGCCACAACAACCGCAGCAATTCATCCACACCACCACCCATTACATCCATCACCACCACCCTGCAGGGGCCGGGCACGTCCCGGTTCAATCGTATTATCATCCTATTTACACTCAAACACCATCTCAACAGCAACATCATCAACCAATCGATCAGCAATACTCGGTGTATCTAATGCCGATTACGCAGTCTCAACCAACCTACAACATGTCTGTGCAATCTAGTCCTGCTGAGACTCCAATGGCTGCACCCAACTGGCAGGCATCTGCTAGTCCTGCCATTGTCCCTTCCTCGGTTATCTATAATGATAGTAATCAACCGTCCCTGTATCCTCAGAAAGTTACAGCAGCCATGCCTGAAATGGCAGGGAGCGTGTACAGAACTGTGGTGACATCGACTCCTTCTCCCTTATTACAGGTTCCTCACAACCAGTTCCAGCAACCTTACATGGGTCTTCCCCAAATGAACTATCCATCTCAGTCTATAGCAGTTACTCCCGCTCCGTCGAGCACTGCTAATTACGGTTTTGATTACACTAATGCTCCAGTGCAGAACATCCCGGCGGCTACCCTGATGGCTTCTCAGTACCAAGCTATGACACAGGCAGCAGCGGTGGCTCTATCAGATGTTTCTAGGCTTCTTCCTGCAGATGGTACACAGCAGCAGATCAGCAACTCATAGGAAGAACGCGCTAATCATCAGGTAAGACAAGAAAAATGTGTTGTGTTTTGTTTTGTTTCCCCTTCTTCCCCAAATCATTTTTAAGCTATACTTAATAGTATTCATGTCATTCCATTGAATATGAATAATGCAAGCAACTCTATTCTCGTTGATGTATCTTGTGCTTTGAACTGAGAAATGAACGACGGGTATCATTGAAAATTTTATGCTCTACACTATTACTCTTTGTGGATCAAATATATATGTATATATGTATATATATATATATATATATATATATATATATATATATATATATATATATATATATATATATATATATATTTGAAAGAATGAAGTCTTTGATACTAATTATTAGATTCATTGATTGTTCTTCACGCTTAGAATAAACAAACAATTTCTTCTCTCGAAAGATAACTCAATAGATAAAGTATCAATTATCATCTTAGAAGTCAAGAGTTCGAATATGTGATTCAAGAATTTAGGTTGAATACTTCTATGATAAATCTTAATAAATAAATAAAACCCGAATTAATAAATAAAATATGAAAAATGACAGTTTTTGGAGATAGATGTTATTGAAATGACTTAATTCCTCGCTTGGGAACCTCTTATTCATTGTCCTTTAATTCCAACCTCACATCTATTATTAGAGGGAGTTTTCCACACCTTATAAAAGATGTTTTGTTCCTCTTTCCAAACTACGTGGGATCGATTGGGCATTATCACCATAGAACATGGCAAATTAGTAGCTTACGAATTTCTGCAATCAATTTTTCATTTCGCTAATCTCAACCAAAGGTTACTTATTATAGCTACACATCTCTACTTTCCCTCTGTTTAAGGCTAAACAAGGTTTGATGTTTATCCCAAAATAAAGCTTTTTGAAGAAGAAAGAAGTCTAGATTTCCAACCAAAAAGGGTAATTCAAAGGGAAAACTTTGGTAACAAATATCACCTTATGGTTGTATACAAAATCTACTATTTTGAACTTCCAAGTGTTCCTTTTTCTCTGTCATTGCCCCAAATAGTGAAAACTAATTAGGTAAAGAAAATATTTTAAACATTACCAATCACTGGAGGAGACATCATATCCAGAAACGTTTTACCAAATCAGTAGTTTTCTTTTCAACAGCATCAGAAGTAAAACAATCAAGCAGGTAAAGGGCTGCTTGATACTTGCGAACCCATTTTCTTGGCACGCAGCCTCTCCATAAACTGGGGGTTCGCCCGCAGCCTCTCCTTCACATATGAAGTTCGAGCATCCTCTACAAGCTTGTTGGCTTTTCCAGCTTCCTCAATTAGAGAAAAAAGAGTCCTGAGGCAATCCTTTCTGTTTTCCTCCCTGTGTTCAAACCTGAGAAGTACAATCGAAGTTAGAAATAATGAAAGGTAAACTCAGACAAATCATGACATAGACTGCGAAAGTTCAGCAAGATCTGACTGGGGTTCGTGGTCAAGATTCCGGGGCACAAAATGTGACGATCTGTCCTATTTATTTTGTGTCACAAGAAATTGGCATCTCTATTAGAAATGCCAGATGCATTCTTTTGTCCTACTAAGATGTGTCGAACACCAAAAACATGGTCCTACTAGAAGTATCAACAGAACTAAAGGTTAAAGCATATAACTGTTGACCTTACCTCTCACTGGTAATGGTAAGCTCATTTTTCCCAGGATGATAGCGCTTGCCAACCAACTCCCTCAGTCGACGGAATTGGTACTTTGATAAGCCAAGCTCCTTCACAGTAACAGATAATTTCACTTTTCGGTTTTTGGGGTGCCATGCATCCCCACCTGGTGCAAACACAACCCTTGTTTGCCACCTAAGAATTGGGCCTTCACCTGGCGGGTCATCCAAGTCCTTTTTATTATCTGGCACATCGGTTTCATCGAACTTTGGGGGCCCTTCTGCCTCCATCATCTTTCCATATTCCATCACCATCTGATCTTCAAATTCTTTAAACAGATTGTAAGCTTCTTCAGGTTCAAGCTCCCCTTTTTCACACAAATCCCCCAGCTCATTGAATTTTGCTTCTACTTTTTTCTTCATATCATCTAATGGACAGTTAATGACCAAGAAATGGGAAAAAGTTTATTGAAAGAGAATTTATTCATGAAGGTAATGTTACCATGAATGTAACACAAAATAAACAATTGTAGAGATTATTGCACAAGTTAGACAACTATATCAATCAAGTTAACACAACAAATCTTGTTTCTCACAAGGCTTGAAATTCCATAGGTTTGGACAAAATGTTAAATAATGGGGTAAGAAAACAAGATATAAAATTTTGCAAGTCTCGCACTTCAAATTCATAAATAGTACCAAAAATAGAAATAGTGGACTTTACTCCGAGAAGAGAAAGGATGATTTCCCAACCAGTTAGTACGACCATAATAGGACAAGAAGTAATACATGAGACAATAGATCACCTGTAATAAGAAAGTGATAGATACTTCATACATGGCTTAACGATAGATACACCATTAGAAAACGACAGACACCAAGGGTTCTTTTTCTTGAAAATCCGCTTTCCTCAGTGTTCTTTCTCTTGAAAATCTGTTTTCCTCCATATCTCAAAGCCTAGTGGTATGAAAGATCTTTCGGTGCATTTGATTAGAAGTTTAAGATATACAGAAAGTTAAGTTCTATTTGGGGACTCTTTGTTATAGGAGACTTAATACGGCAGATAGAATCCAAAGAAAATTTTCTAATTGGGCATAAAGAGAGGAATGACAACAACCATTTCGGAGCCAGTTTGAAATCTTCAGCCTAAATGGAAAATAGTTCTTTAGAACTTCATCATCATATCGATGAATAGCTATCATAACTAAATAAATAAGATGCAAAATGAAGCTACAATTAGTTGATATGAAGCACCAGAAACAAATTGGTAGCGTACACAACACCATAAACTTGCATTTAAAACCTTTTGCTTCAAAAGTATAGTATGGAAGAGAAATAGGAACGCAGAGAAGGGACGTAAGTCAGAAACCAATCCAGGATGAAGAAATAAGCCAAGTATAACACAAGAAATATGATGTTGCACACTAATTTCTTATGAGTGATACCAACTGAAACGAGCATGTAAAGGAAACGGGCAAACCTGGAAGGAGCTTGTCCCAACTAAGCATATCCTCCAAAATCTCTTCACACTCCTTGGTGTCCTTCAGAAATCCATGCTTAATGCCATCCTCAACAAGCTCATCCCATTTTTTGTCATCCATGTTGAAGTATTCGTTCTTTACCATTTTTTTCATAACTATATCCCTAGCATTATAAAGATTGTCAATCTCTTCATCTGTCTCATACAATTCTTCAAAATCAGATTCAAACTCTTTGTCCTTGACGTCATCCAATGGCTGCATTTGTAGTTCTTCAACAAGTTCATCATCCGTATCTTCATGCTTTCCAACCAGTTTCCTCTGAAGAATAGCTTCAAGAATTGATGGAAGTGCCTCCTCGTCACCTTTGAAGTACTTATCTATCCGCATTTTCAATTCTGAGGGCAAAAAATTTATGGATCAAATGGAAAACATTATAATTTGGAACTCCCATGATTCGTATTAAAGTCGCATTGAACAAAACCCTAATTTACCACGGCACCAACGTCAGACCCAAAAAATTTTCTAAGCAAATATAACAAGCTCAGACATGAATTACAGCAAAAAAATGAAAAACTCAAATGTCAGTCAATCTCGAATTCGACTCGTTATATCATATAGAAAACTCAAGTCAAAACTGTTTGTACTGTGTAATGATGTGCAAGCTCTTGAATGAGATGACTACTTTTCAGATGCAGACGCCAGTTAAACAAAATCAGCTTGATCTAAGCATTTAACATTATAACCTATCATTCCCCTCACCTTTCGACTTTATAAATACTAAAGTACAATACAAAGAAAAACTAAAAATTTCACATTCACATTGCTTAGTTCAATCGCAGAAATCAATCGCCAAACAGAGCGTTCTCATGGAAAGAATACCTTTATTGCTCACATCTTGGACGTCCAAAGGTATCTCTTTCTTCTGAGTGGGCACCAAATTCGCCTCGGAAACACTTCCTGAATCTTCCTTTGGCGGCAAATCGTTCTCGGAGGAGAAGAGCCTGAATTGAGACGTCGCCGGGGCTGAGAGCAAGCGTGGAGGAACGACATTGGACCTGTAAGTGGGAGAATTAAGGAGATGACTGCGAGCTCTGAGAGAGACGTTTCTCAATAGTGACCAATTCATGGCTTTCCTCTAGGGTTTAAGGTTGTTCTGGTTCCAAACGAGAGGCTTTTGCAGCGACTTCAGGCGCGGGAGGCCGTTTAACCCTTTCAGAGCTAATTATTCCGAAAATAACAAAATTATATAATCTTATGTTTTTCATTTTTATTATTTTATAAAATTAATGGAAATTTTGTTTAAGAGAAAGAGAGTAATGGCAAACTCATAGACTATTAAAGTAGACCCGTGTATAATCGGACAAATTTAACTTTAAAGTTATTATAGCTGAGTCACTAATAAGTTCTTTTAATGCGATGGAGTAGTTATTATCTATGTAATTAAAGAAGTTATAGAAGTTCATCACTACGGTTCCGATCCAGACACATGAGAGATTAATTCAACAACAAAAATTATGAATTAAGGGAAGAGAAGAACGTTACCAAAATTTTGAAGTCATTGCAACCGAAGCACATATACCAACCTAACCTAATATGTCATAATTGAGAAATGCCTCTGTGGAAAGTTAAGGATTTTAATTTTGATAATATATAAAGCCATGAAAAATGTAAGTAATTTAGATTGCATATTTAGAATTATTCAAATTCGACATGATCGATATTGTTTGTACAGTGATTCTAATCTCAAACAAAATATTCGTCTTCAGATATTCAATCAAAAAAGTAATTCGAGTCTTCCTTCTCTTGTAGTGAGTGAGTCACCTCTGACCCTAGAACTCCTTTCCCCACGTGCTCAACAACGATATCACTTCAACTTTCTTCTGTGTCCATATGACTAAACATTTTGGGCAAGAAACTGTTGGGTCTAGACTAGTGAGAATGTCAAAAACAAAGTAACCTTACAGAATAAGCATCTGGTTTGCCAATGGAAAAGAACACTGATTCTCCATTGTTGGATGGGGAAGAATATGGTTCCTTGTTCAATCCAGAATGGCCCATATTCGGAAACATAAAATGCTAAAAGTATAATCTTTAATCTATACTTTGTGTGAATCTAAAACAGATACCTTACATCAAATCTTACGTAATATACATACAAATTTGTACTCCTTCAAGTTCACAAAAGACCACACTGAAGACCGTATCGATGCAACGACAATGACAAACGACAACTCTCACAAGTTTCCTTCAAGTTCACAAAAGACCGTACTAAAGACCATATCGATGCAACGACAACAAACGATGACTATCACAAGTTTCCAAGGGCAGTGTATAATGCTTTGGGCAACATTCATCTTGATTGCCATTACTTTCCATGTTGCTTTTGCCCTCCCATTTCATAGTTTTATTACTCCCTCCCCCATTTTCCACATGTTTTTAGCCAGTTGGTGTGAATATTTTTCTTAACTGCCTCCATGAAATGTACTCCCCAAAAGAACAAACCACCCAAAACCAAAATGTATCCTTACCAGTATTGAGTGCAGGTCGAATAGTCGATAAGAGCACGAGTTTGTTATTTTGGCAGTTCGAGTGGGCAGAATGGAAGTAGAGACATGCTTTCAGTCATTTCCTATCATCTCCAGTATGTCATATGCGATGCAAAGAACTGAAAATCAGGTTGATTGACCTGAAGGCGCCTCAGCCACTTCTCTGCCGCCTGCATGAGGGAATTTTCCATTTGATTCTCTTTGACACAATTTTGCGCCCATATTGAGCCTTTCAGCTTATAAGAAGCCAATCCGAAGACAGGCAAGGAGACCTTTGGGATACCATCGTTGTCATTTGGATATATCATTGCTGGTGCTTGACCATGTCCATTACCTGTGAAGCAAAGAAAACGATCAACACTTGCAGAAAACAAATGCAATGAATAAGCTCCAAAATGAACACAAAATAGGAAAAATTACTTGAATTTCTTGAATAAACTTTTACCTGCGGACACAGATGAAGAATGAACACAAATGCCTTAATGGAGATATCGTACACAATCCATGATTTAACACTATATATCTCCATATATGTAAACGGCAATGAATTTATTGGTCAGTTCGAACTTGAGAAGAAATAAAACTTCATTGATCCCCCCCCCCCCCCCCCCCCCCCAAAAAAAATCCCATAAAAAGGAGCCTAGAATTAGAAAGATACACGAGCAATACTATCTCTACTAATTAACAATGTTTTTATGAGAGTGAAATGTCGGAAGAACTCTGGCTATGACTGCTCGTGACAAAACGAAATTAACGGGTTTATTCAGTTGACAAAACGAGTAAATGGGGCCTAGTGAACGTAAATCTTGAAGATTACCAAAGACTACAGGCACAAACCAAGAAGAAAACTAAGAATGCCATAGTACCTCTTATGGGTGTGGAAAGGGAATGATATGTTAGGAAGCAAGCATCCAAATCCTTCAATGTGGGACCAGTGGGTATACGGTATATTGGGTACCTACAATTCCAGTGGATGAATGAATACCATGTTTTACAAAACTAGAAATTACACTGAATCTGCAAATATTTACCATGCTACAGAGATCCAACTGGCTGGCAGGATATCACAACTTCTTAAAGTTTTCAAACCAGGAAATTGGTAAGCAAGATCAAATATCTGTCATAACATAAACAGTACGAGTAAACTAATACGGTTCTCGAAATGGCAAAACGTGTAACAGTATAACTACTAAAGGAACTAATAAGAAACCACTAACTTTATCAGCCAACGGTACACGTTGATAAGGAAGATCTTGCTCCAGAAACTGAAAGAGCAAACCACTCCGAGGATATTCTGCATCCCCATCGTCACTCGAAAAACCTTCTTGTCTTGTGCTATGCTCATCTCTTAAAGACGTCTTTCTAATTGTAAGAGCGCTATCACAAGCTAAATGGTGATGAACCCACTGTTCTCTGGATAAGTTACAGCTTTTACCAAATTCATAGTCAATGCTTCCCTCGCTGCTTGTATCTCTAGAAGAGTCAAGATCACTGTCCTCATTAGCCAGCCTACCATTATAACGAAAGATTAATTAGAAGGAAATTTTCACCTTCAGAGTAAAATCAATGTTCTAAAAGTTCATGATCACATATAAAAGATTGGAAACAAGTACTAATATGAATTAACATATTCCAAACACAGATCAAGTACCTGGACTTAGAATCTGATCTCAATGCAGCAGATTCGCCATATATTTGAATACCAGACAAATAAGGAACGTAATATTGAACAACAGAGTCACCTCCATTGAGTACTAAAGGAACTCCAGCGCCGTATGCACTCCACTCCTTGAAAGACTCCCACAGATCATTCAGAACGAAATAAGGTTGAAATTCAATATCACAAGTCCTCCAACCCCTCATAGTTGTCTGGAAAGAATACAAGATTACAAGTTCATATCGCCCAAATTCATAGCAATGAAAACCATTAAAGGGCTAAAAGAAACCAAACTGAATTATGATCCTAACTTGGTTATTAACTCAAATTTCATCAGCAATCAATCAAAAGCTTATATGTAATGAACTTTCTTCGATTCTAACATTTACCTTGGAGAAGTACTGCGCTGGAACTGAAGGCTTTGTGGCGTCCAAGAATCTCTCTAAGTTGCTCTTAGACTGAGGAGTTAGTGGCTTAGAAGGCGTTGTAGTAGAAGCCACAACTTTACTCGATGGAGTCTCAGTTTCATCGGTCTTGGTAGGTCTCCTCGATGGCTTTTGCTGATTATAAATCTTCCGTGCCCTCACCGGAATATAAAACCGATCCTCACCTTTGATTCCCCCAAACTGCAACGCAGTTCCCAACATTTCTATATCTAAACCAAAAGAAGGACAATAAAGAAGAATCCTCCGTTGAGTATCAACGGAAAACGGAGGAAATTACACAGATTATAATCGGTAACCCCAAATCTCTCTACCTTGTTCACTAAACTGAGAAATAAAATAACTCAACCAACCAGAATCAAAGGAAATATCGGTTTCTTTAAGCTCCCAAGTAGCATAAAGCCGACGAAATGGCGATTAAAAGAAATGGTATGCAGATTCTTTAAACTCAGCTTTCTTCTTCCAAAAAATTACTCGAAATATCTCTCAAGAACACTGAATTGAATGGAGGATGCTAGCAAAACAATATCAGATCAGAGAGAAATCAATACCACAGAGGTTTTCAAAATCGATTAAATGAAGAAGAGAACTGAAAATCAATTCAAAAACTTCGTAGCAAAGATTTGAAGAATGCACGCAATGAATGACCAAAATGCGTTTTGTGTGAATTAAGAAACCAGGCGAGAAGGAAAACGCAGAAAGAAAGAGAGAAAGAAGCTTGAACCAGAGAGTGTTCTAAAAGAAGAAGATGTCATAATAATAATAATAAAATAATTATTATAGCAAATTAATTCAACCAAATTTTATGGGCACTTTTGTTATAAATTTTATTCCATTGGGTAAATATGTAAATAATGAACAATTCTCGGGCGACAACGTAAATAAATTTAAATGGGGACTGGTCAGCTCATCCATTCGTGAACTCATAGAAGCTTTGCCAGGTTGGCACGTGAAAATGCGGTAGGTATGACACGTGCAATCCACGAGTAGTGAGACACGTGTCAAATAATTAATAATTCTCTAATTTACATAAAAAAATCGAATTTAATATTTAATTCCTGAATTATATTTTAGCAATGGACAATTAATTACATCCCAGAACTAAAAAAAAATTAAATATTAATTAAGTATTTGTAGGAGAGCTTTTTTTGGAGAATAAATTAAAATACTTTGTATTTGTACCAAAAACAATCTACTCATTCCTAAATAAAAATAAATAAATACCTTCGAAAAATATTAATTTTTCTTCCAAATAATAATAATAATAAATGATGCTAATCATTTATGAATTTTATAATAATAGAAAAAATTAAGTAAAATTTCAAACATCAATAATTAATGTTTTTTCTTTTTTCTTTTTTCTTTTTTAGATTTATAAAGTATAATGAATTATTTTCAAAGTTTACTATAAAATTGTGAATAAAAAAAAATGAAGCTTTGGTAAGATGTTGCATCAAAAAGTATAGGTTAAATTGTCACATACAAATTTTATTTATAAAAAAACAGTAAAAACGTCAGTTATAATTTTATTTAAAATACGAGTTGTGACATACTTATTACATCATTAATTATTCAGTTTTTTATTTTAAATTTTTATATTTAAGTTAACATATTTATTTGAATAAAAAGCCAATTAAAAAAATAATTGAGGTTGAATTATTGGCAATGGAGCCCACGTCGGTTTGAATTGCTTTAATTACATAGCCATTAACCACCACACGACACACCATTTTGGACCATTCTTTTGCCCAATGCTTTTGGTACCCATTTCGGGAATGGCTTTTCCCATTGGAAATTACCAAAAATCACAACAATAATATAATTTAGATTAAATAATTATTTTAGGTTTTTCAATTCCAATTATTCCTTCTTTTTTTTTATTTTTTAATTTGGGTAAATAATAATAATATTTTTGTGAATATACTATCAAAAATATATATATGGACTAAAATGGAAGGAGATGGAATCCAAAAATTTTAATTTCTAAAGAAAATATTATGTAAATTTTTTTAAAAAAAATAAAAAATTAATGCTTTTATTTTATAATTTTTATTTTTTAAAAAAATTAAAATAAAAAGCTGAATGGAAATTGGTATTAATAAGTTTAAATTTTAAAGTTTCAATACCATTTAACAATTTAACATTAAAGTCAGAGAAATAAAAATAAAATTAAACTAATTTGCATCTAAAATTATAATTTAACTGAAAATTAATTACTTTTATAATATAATAATTGAGGTACTAGAATTTGACCTTGTCATGTTTAATAGACTTAATTGATTTATTATTTTTATTATTACTATTGTTATTTCTCTGATAATTTTCTTGACAATTCGACATGGCGGTCCGTGGTCACAACAACAAGCTTTTAATCTGACCCATTATTTATTTTTCTGTCTTAGGTTTATAAATATTTAATGTGGACCAAGTAGCCCCCAAATTTTTTTTTTCCAAAAATGCCCTTTTTTTCAAAAAAAAAACGCAGACCGACTCGAGGAAGAAAACGAGTGAGCGTGTGAGGCTCGCGTGTGAGGCTCGCGTGCGAGTAACCGAGATTGGGACAACATAAAGAGGGTACGTGCAGCCACATGACAAGCTACGTTTCACTCCGCTCAACACCTTTTGACCTGTTTTATTAATATTGGTTTGTATCAAATTTTATATACTTTCTAATCGTTCTTTACCATCATGAACTAAGACAAAAAAAAAAAAAATTCAAAATTGAAGTTCGTGTTTATCAAACGAGACCTAATTTCCCGATTCTACGACCCGGTTGAGGAATCGAGCAGTGGAAATTGAGTATATTTTAACAAAAAATAAATAAATAAATAAAATGAAATAATTGAAATTGAGAATAAGATGGGAAGGGTCAAAATCAAGTGGGCCCAAAAAGTATTTCAAAATGGATTCGGTGGCCCAATATGAAATTGAAAATTGACATATTTCCACGTAGGCTTATACCATTATCTAATTTAACACCATTCCTCCTTCCTCTCATTCGCCCATCAATCACATCTCATCCTCATCCTTTTTCCTTTTTCGGGACTTCGATGATTGTTACCAATATGCTTCAGACTCTCTCGACCTTAAGAAATCCATTTTATCTGACAACCACATTTAAACTCGTAGCTAAATTTTAAAAATAACACTTCAAACTCATCTTGTCTGTTTTGACTCGTTACGTATCGTTGTTAGCTTCGCGTTTTAAAACGTGTCTATAAATGAGAGATTTTCACATATTTATAAAAAAAATGTTTCGTTTCCCTCTCATGGATCTCATAAAAACACGTGGAAATAGTGTTTCTAAATATAATTTTAAAAAATAGAGTAGTTATTAAAAAAAAAAAAAGTAAAATTATAAGTTTAATTTATTATATATAGAATTAAATATTATATCTTGTTAACGATAAACGTGTAATTTTGTATTTAATTGGTTAAAATTTAAAATAGGAATGATTTTAGTAAATTTGATTGAAAATGGGAGGAAATTGAAGAATTGGGCCGAACCAACCCGGCCCAATCCAGAAAGGACCGGAGTGGAGTGGAGCCGTTTAAATTATTTAATAGTCATAGTCATTGGCGGCCATAGACACGAAACTTCAGCGTCTTCTTCTACCTCTATAAATACCTTCTTTTCTCCTCTTTATTTAACCTTTCCCACAAACAACTAAAAATGAAAACGTTTCTACTGCGAATCCATTTTCGGAACGCCGCCGTGCTCGTCACCTTCGCCACCGCCTTCCTCCTCCGCTTTCCGCCGTCTCTCGCCGACGATGAAGACGACTGCTTTAAGACGGGCACGTGTTCTTTTCTTTTACCTCCTCCGCCGACAGGTATGCTATTATACTTTCTAATTCACTGATTTATTAAGTTATTTCCAATTATGCCTTGTATAATCGTAATCAAACTTCATAAATCAACAAATAATACAAATCTATAAAATAAATAAGTGGCCACATGATAAATTTGGAGGGAATTTGTAAGGTCATATATTGGTGTTTTTAAGCTTTTATCGTAAATATTGCCTTTCTTGAACCTTCTCTCAAAATTCTTAAACATGTCTATTAGGTCGAGTTTTTCACGCCTTATAGGTAATGTTTCATTCACCTATTTGAATTTTTGTTCTGCGCTTTCACTCGAGATTTTAAAATGTATAGAAATTCTCATATTTTAGAATGAAGGTTGATCCGTTGATAATTAGATAATTAGATAATAAATAGTGTTGGGTCATATTAATTATTAATATAATCTCACCTTCCTTACTTATTTCCATGATTTTATTTTCATTTTGTTTTAAAGTTTTTATTTTATTTTGAAGCTTTGACCAAATTAATCGCCGAAAGTCAAAATTTTACATAACGTACAAAATAAAATTTGGAGTTTAACAGCTACCTTCGAACTGGCAAATTTGGACTAGTCAAAGTTTAGACTATATATATTTCCCAACTATTATGTAAAAATAATTATTTTTAGTTCAGTAATTTCAGAGTAAAAAAAATTAAAAAAACAATTATTTAAATAATATATTATTTAATAAGTACTGCACATGCCTATGTCATTGTGATGCCTAAAGTTTCGGGAAGTGTCTAGGAAGACTTTCTTTAAAATGAGTTTTTCAAGTACAGTACCGAGCAACATGGGTGTGCTGGTATTTCGCCCATGCCTACATGTCGAAGGTTGGATTTTGTACTCGGAATATGGTATTTGTAAATGACATGGCATGGACACGGAAGGGCCAATGCCCGAATGGAATCTGGATGGATAATGTTCAAGATGTCTGAATAATATAAATGACACCGGGGCTGACATGAGTCAAGTTTGATCGAACAAAGTTGAATGAAAGTGCACAACATTCAAACCTTCCCACATGGAAAACGTTGAAGTCTTCATCTACCAAATCTTCAACATTCATAATGACAAATTTGCCCCTATCTTGCCACAAGGAAAATGCTTAATATGAACTGATGAACAAATATTGAGATTCTTCAGCAGTTATGTTTTAATCCGACATTGATGTTTTTTTCTTCATTGTTGACGTTGCAGACAATAGCGACGACATCAAAAAGAAGATTATCATTGGTAACTCTGTTTTTCCTCCTCTGTTCATATGGTTGACTCTATGGCAATTGATCAAAACCTCCATTGGTTTGATTCATATGCAGGCACATGCACTGGTTTTGGAGCCTTGCTTTTAACCTTACTTGTTCTTGGCGTCTGCTACCGATGGCGCCAGCTCCGTCGTAAAAGGTCTCACATGCTGCCATACGTGCAACAGAGCGTTCTCTCGAATCCCCCGTCCGTGGAAGAAGCTGAGAATGGAGGAACCTACTTGGGCGTTCACCTCTTCTCCTATAAAGAACTTGAAGAAGCCACGAACCATTTCGACTCCAACAAAGAGCTCGGTGATGGAGGCTTTGGCACAGTCCATTATGGTAAGAGTTGTTAGGAATCACGAATTTTTACAATGGTATGATATTGTCTACTTTGAGCCTAAAATCTCATAGCTTTGCTTTGGGGTTTCCCCAAAAGACCTTCGTACCAATAGAGATGTATTCCTTACTTATAAACTCATGATCATTTCCTAAATTAGTTCGTGCGGGACCCAGAGCAGCCCTTCGAATCTAATCTTAATCATTGTTCATGCTTGATTATTAGCTGGTCATTGTTTCATTGATCTTTTTGTTCATATATCTGTTTAGGCTTACTCAAAGACGGGCGTGCCGTTGCTGTCAAACGGTTGTTCGAAAGCAATTTCAAGAGAGTTGAACAGTTCATGAATGAGGTCGGGATCCTCGCACGCCTGCGCCACCACAACCTCGTTTCACTTTACGGTTGTACCTCGAGCAACAGCCGTGAGCTTCTGCTTGTGTATGAATACGTTCCAAACGGTACGGTGGCTGATCACCTCCATGGAAAACTAGCAAAGCCAGGCAAGCTTCCATGGTCTACAAGATTGAAGATTGCTATAGAGACTGCAGGTGCTTTAGTGTATCTCCATGCTTCTGAAATCATCCACCGTGATGTCAAAACCAACAACATCCTCCTCGACAACCACTACTCCGTTAAAGTAGCCGATTTCGGGTTATCCCGCCTCTTCCCACTCGACGTCACGCACGTTTCAACCGCTCCACAAGGCACTCCCGGCTACGTCGACCCGGAGTACCATCAGTGCTACCAACTCTCTGATAAAAGCGATGTCTTCAGCTTCGGCGTAGTACTTGTTGAACTCATGTCCTCAATGCCTGCTGTTGACATCACAAGACATAGGCAAGAGATCAACCTGTTCAACATGGCCATCAACAAGATCCAAAGCCACGCATTACACGAGCTCGTCGACCCATCACTCGGTTTCGAATCAGACTACAAAATCAAAGACATGATAACGAGCGTCGCTGAGGTCGCATTTCAATGCCTGCAGAGCATGAAAGACGAAAGGCCAACAATGATCGAAGTTCTCGACAGTCTAAACGCCATACAGAATCGAAACAATGATGCTGTGCAGCTAAAGAATGGCTATGAATCTTCTCAAAGTTCCATGTCAGTATCTTGGGTTAGCAGTAACACCTCTACATCAACAAATTATTGAATTGATTCTTCATTCTTTGTCTTAGAACACTACATTATATGTCATTTATACCAAAAAAGGAACATAAAGGGAAGATTTTTACAATACCCCATGTTTATCAAATTACATATAAATGAATCGTATAAGCTCAGAAAATCAAAAGGAATTGGTTTATGCACATAATTTAATGATTAAACTCCATGAGCTTAGGAGCAAACAAGAGGAGCCTATTCAAGGAATTGGGCATGAATTTCCTGGCAAACAAATGGCATACATTGGTGTCAACTCCATTGTACCGGCAGTGGCTGCCAGTCCTCAGCCTTTGAAGCAACCCAACGTTGACATCCATTCTGTTGAACTTGGTGGGGTGGGCGCCGCCTTTTGACCAGTCGACCCAAGTCAAGGTCCGGTTGGAATTGGATGTGGAGAAGTGGATTCCGACGAGGGTGGGGAGGTAGTGCTCGTCCATGTAACAAGAGGGCTTGCAGTGTTGCCGGAAGACGGGGAAGTATTTCTGGTCGGAGACAACTTGGGAGGCGAGGGGTCGGTCAATTTGGAACCACTGGGAACCCTTGCGCCATTGGTGGAGGTTGATTGTGGGGCGCATTTGGGGTTTGTAGCGGCCTCGACCCACTGGTCCTGGGAGGTCGTAGGACTCTACGAAGGTGGTTTTGGAGGCCATTAAGTAACTGTAAATGGTGGAGAAGTTGAAGAGTGGGATGCAGGACTCGGAGAGAAGGATGAACCTTTGGTTGGAGAAGTCGAGTAGTGCGTTTGCTAGTAGCCGCCGCTCTGCCTCCATCATGCTCGGCGCTCCCCACTTCACTCCCTGAAATTTCATTTATTCGTAAAATTTTCCATTTATTTGAACCATCCCGTGATAATTCAATCCAAAATTCAAATTATATGAGTTGGGTTGAGTTGATAGGTCTCCCGATTATTGCATTTTTTGAACATCACTAAGTTTTCAGATTATTGAGTTCTTTTAACATTTCTAAAGGTTAAGTTGATAGGTGTTTCGGGTTATCGGGTTTCCTAAACATTCCTGAAGGTTAAGTTGATAGGTGTTCAAATTATCGGATTTTCTGAACATCCCTGAAGGTTAAGTTGATAGGTTTTCGGGTTATCGAGTTTTCTGAACATCCCTGAAGGTTAAGTTGATAGGTGTTCGGATTATTGAGTTTTCTAAACATCCCTGAAGGTTGAGTTGATAGATGTTTCAGGTTCTCACGTTTTTTGAACATTCCTAAAGGTTAAGTTATAGGTGTTCATGCTATTGGGTTTTCTGAACATCCCTTGAGATTAAGTCGATAGGTGTTTGAGTTATCGAGTTTTCTGAACATCCCTGGAGGTTAAGTTGATAGGTTTTCGGGTTATCGGATTTTCTAAACATCCCTGAAGGTTGAGTTGATAGGTGTTCGGGTTATCAAATTTTTTGAACATTCGTGAAAGTTGAGTTGATAGGTTTTCGGGTTTCTGAAACCGACCCGTGGCCAATATTAAGCCTTTTTTTTTTGTTCTTTTTGTTTCTTCTTTTCCCATAACAAGCAAGGAAAAGGGGAAGAAAAAAAAGGTATGATTCTTGGCTTTGGTGAGATATAATTTTTCACGTGAGAGAGGAAGAAGGCATAAAGAAAAGAATGCAAAAAAGGATGGAACCGTAACCGCCAACAGAAAGGAATTCATCACATTTTTTTTCTTTTTAATTATTCATTTTCAAAATATCCAGCCTGTAAAATCCCACCATTTCATGTAGCTTGCTACAATTAACGCTCACGTTACATTAAATTAGGCAAAAAAAAAAAAAAAAATTAATTTGAACAGACGATTAATTTTAGAATATTTCATACCCTAAAATAAACCTATTATTCGTTGATATTATAAATACCACTGCCCTAAAAATTATTCATTTTAATATAATAAATAAAAATTATATTATAAATTGACATTTTGTTAGCTTAAAAATAAATAATTTAAAGACATGAATTCAATAAGTTTTAAAAAATAGAAAATATATATTAATTTATTGATTAAGAATCTTAATTAGAATGAGAGTAGAAACGAGAATAATTAATGAAATACTTAATTAAGAAAAGTGGTGATTACTGTTAGTACCTTACTGGGGATTGAGCGGCCGTAGAAAACAGAGTTGGAAGCGACGGTGGCGTTGGTGGAAGAACTGCGGTGGACGTAAATGGAGTAAAGGCGGCGGTGGCCTTTGAAGAACCGTTCCCAAAGCGGAGCCAAACTGACGCCGTCTTTTGTCAGAAACAAGAAGGCAATCTTCGGCTGTGATTTTGGCAGCGGCGATTTTGGAATCCGGCGGGGAACCAGTGAAGCTCTCCACAGAAGCTCCTCCTCTGTCATGTCGTGGAGGGCTGGGGGTGGGTTAAAGAACTTCTTTAAACCGACGCGCGACGGCGGCGGCGGCGGAGAAGGAGGTGGAGGAGGAGGAGAGGGAGAGGGGAGTTGGAGTTGGCTGAAGGAGAAGGGGAGAGAGAGAGGAGAGGATTGGAAAGGGAAGGGGAAGGTGAAGAGAGTGAGAGTGAAGCCGGCGGCGAGACCGGCGGCGAAGAGGAGGAGGTGAGAAACGAGGGATTTGAATTGCGTTTGGAGTTTGAATAGTTTGGGATTGGATGTCGTCATTGAATGAACAGAGTTTCAGAAATGGAAGCTTGATTTTCGTCTTCAATGGCGTCTTCAATTCTCTCTCTCCCCCTCTCTCTCTCTCTCCTGTGTGCGAGAAATACAGAGAATTCGGAAGTCAGAGAGGCAGTGAAGGGCACAAAACGGTTACCTCCCTAATATTCCTTTTTTTTTTTTTTTTTTTTTTTAAATTTTAATTATAATAACTCATATTTATTATTTACTCTTAAAAACAAAACTTCCATTATTTATCCTCAAATTTTATTATTTATTTATTTTTGGTTAAATTATAAATATATTCACCAACATATTATAATAAAAAAAAAAAAAATAATCTCCTTCCTCATTCCGGCCGAGTCTCCCCGAACGGCCGTAATTATTTATACTTATTTATTATTATAATTACGATGAATTGTTGAAAATTATGGTGTAATATTGTGATGTCCCACATGTGTTGGGGGAGGAGAACAAACCACTCTTTATAAGGGTATGGAAACATTTCCGTACTAGATGTGTTTTAAAGCCTTGAAAGGAAGCCCGGAAGGGAAAGTCCAAAGAGGACAATATCTGCTAGTAGTGGATTTGGGGCGTTACAAATGATATTAGAGCAAAATACCAGACGATGTGCCAGCCTTTTCGTTGTTCCTTGAAGGGGGTAGACACAAAGCGGTGTGCCAGTAAGGATGCTTGGACCGTTACAAATGGTATTAGAGGTAGACACCAGACGATGTGTCAACCTTCTCGTTGTTCCCTGAAGGGGGACGCTTGAACCGTTACAAATGGTATTAGAGGTAGACACCAGACGATATGTCAACCTTCTCGTTGTTCCTTGAAGGGGGTAGACACAAGGCGATGTGCCAGTAAGGACGCTTGGACCATTACAAATGGTATAAGAGACAGACACTAGATGATGTGCCAACCTTCTCGTTGTTCCCTAAAGGAGGTAGACACAATTTATAAGAAAGCCTTGATGGAAGGGAAAGCCCAAAAAGGACAATATCTAAGGAAAGCCCGTATATTAGACAATATCTCAACCCTTTCACCCATCCTTGTTTGTTTATTTATTGTTATAATATAGATAAATTATTAAAAATTGTGGTGTAATTGTTGAAAATTATGTTATAATTATATTTTTTATTATGAAATATTATTGTTACACGTACCCTATTAGATCTAGTTGATTAGTTGATTAATTGATTGATTAATATATGGTAGTTTTTGAATGAGACAAAAATTTAATAGTTAAAAGATATGGATTAAATGAAATTTAAAAATATGGTGAAAATTGACTTTGAATCTCTTAATGAAAAAGATAAGTGGTAATAGAATTATGTGTAAATGGCAAGCGTGTAGACACAGCAAGGCAGAGGATCTTAATAGGCAACTGAAGCCATGACTCATCATAAATAAACGTTGGAAGTTGAAATCAATTTCGAATAATTAACTTTTCCAAATTATATATATATATATATTTTTCCATTATTTAATTTAATTAAAATAAATAAATAAATAAATAAGAAAATTTGAGATGGGCCCTAATTGGGCCGATCGTTGGGTTTTTATCGGTTTAAATTCAAGTTGAGCCGTTTATGGATAAATAATAATAAGATTTTAATTTAAGGCAAAGTAAATAAGAGCGCTTTTTTATTTTTATTTTATATTTTATAAATATTATAAATTAAAAAAATTATTAAATAATAATAGTAATAGGATAAATATTTAGATTGTTAGTCAAATTAAAATAAATAGATAAATATTAAATAGTCTATAATTTGAATTTGTTAGAAATAAATTTATAATATTAATAAATTTATAATTTGAATTGTAGTTTGATGGGGGGTAGTTTTGGCATCTCCACATAAAATACTGAGTGAGGATATTCTAGTATAGAATATATTATCCTCGAGTCCAAACAGAACCTTAGCAAATGATTTTAAATTAATTGGAAAGCGACAGATTTCCGTTTTGATTGCGCTACCGATGATCTTCTATTTTGATTAATCAAAGGTAAATTCCAGTTTAGGAATATTCAGTACCAAATCTATCCTTAAAAAAATGGAAGCCCCGGGCCCACAAGGAATTCAGTTGGGGGCATTTCTGGAAATAATTTTTTTTTTTTTTTTTTTTTTTAAGGTATTTTGAATATTTAATACCTTAGCTATTATAATCAATATGATTGCAGCACTCAGCATGACCAATTCAACTCGTGCTTTAGTTCTCTCTTTGAGAATTTTTAAAAATAAATTTTATTTTTTTTTGAAAATTGTACTATTTTTATCATTTAAATATAAAATTTATTCACATACTTTTTAAATTTATACTATATAAAAATGTGTTTTAAAAATACAATATATATATATATATATACACACAATTTGATACATAATGAGGGGTGAAAATGCATGGATGAGGCCTTATTTAATTTATATATTTTAAAACGTATATTTTTAAAATTTATTCAAATTTGTGGAAAATATAATAGTTTAATAATATATTGAATGAACGAGATTTTATGATTTTTTTAATTCCGAATACATGTCTATTAATATTTGGATTAATGAGTTTTATATATTTATAATCATAATTTAGAGCAAATGGAAAACTAAAAAAAATATTTTAATTTTTTTTTTCTTTTTGAATAAAACTAAAAGAAAAATAATTATAATTGATTAAGTATATTTTATTACCATTTTTTTTTATTTTTTAAATTAGAAAAAAGATTGTGGCAATCTTAGAGAAGAGGCAAAGGTTGTGCAGTGGCGAAGTATGAGTCGGGCAATCATCCTTCACACAAGCGGTCCACGTGTCAGGTTGCGAACAGAAATATGTGACGTCAGCGTCCACGATGGCAATATTTCGGTCCACGTTTCATCGAGGCGGGTATAAAAGGCTCTCCCTCGTCTCCTACGAGGCTTTGGCTATAGTTGTTTTATTCTTATCGACAGCACCGTAAGTTCGTAGCCAGGCCTACCCTTTCTTCTCCGTTGAATAATACGAAGCAGATAATAAAAAGATTTAGAGAGAGAAAGTTACGTGAAAAGGCGAAAGTAATTGAGACAGAGAGAGTAGGAGATGGAAACCAAGAGCTGCAGCAGCTGAGAGTGGGGAGATGAAAGCATAGTTGGAGCGAGGAAGAACTGGAGAGGACGAGGACGAGAGAGAATTTGGAGAAAGGAGGTATTATATAGGAAAGAATTTCGGAGAGAGTTCTTGCGAGAGGTGGTTTTAGAGTGAGATGGCGACGCCGTTGACAGGGCTACATCACAGGGACGGTGGCGGAGGGGTGGCTTTTTTGGCTAATTCTGTTAATAAAATGGATTCCGCGTCGTCTCCGTCGTCGCCGAATGATTGTTTGAGGAACTCCGAGCCACAGTCTCCGATTCTTATTTTCCTTTTCTTCCACAAAGCTATTCGCAAAGAGCTCGATACGCTACACCGGCTGGCCATGGCATTTGCCATCGGCCAGAGAGCAGATATTCGGCCGCTATTTGAACGATATCATTTTCTTAGATCGATTTACAAGCACCACTCCAATGCTGAAGACGAGGTAAAATTTCTGATCCATTTCCGTGCAGATTTGCACTTGTACATGTGTGGCTGATTTTCGCCTCGTTTGCTTTTCTTTGGAACCTAGCATTATCGATTAACTTCCTTCGAATGTTTAGCTTCGGTTGCTGATTAAGTCGTAGGAGTCGGGAAGGACATGTGGTACTAGATTCTTGGTTAGGAATTGGAAAATTCTCAGAATCAGAATTATAATTTACTTTTCTGTATTGTTCATTGGTACTTAAATCGTTGCTTATGCTTGATTATTTTTTGAACATGTTAATACTGTTCAGTAGGCCTCATTTCCTGTGTTCCTTTAATGCGGACTCCATTAAAGACGATTTGACCTCATGTGTCAATCTTCGTTCGGATAATTACTGGATTCTAATGTCCATTGTGCCCAATCGCCAGCTTAAGTAACGTCTCTTTGTCTTGTACAGCATAAGTCTGTCAATAAATCAAATATTATTTTGGAGGAAAGTAGAATTGAAGAAATAATTGAGCGTAAGAGTTTATACTTTTGGTTGTTCTTGCTTAACACTCTGAGTTCTTTAATGCCTTCTACTTTTTCATGAAGTTTATGAGTGGAAATTTATCTTCATTTTGCATTAATACTCATTTTCAAGAACTCAAAATACTGAAATTAAAAAATGAATCTCGTATAGCGGTGGTGTACTTCAATCAAAGCAGGAGCTCTGCTTTTGTCTGTAAGAAAATATTTCAACTGAATGTAGTTCGGAGGGGATGGTATGAATACTGAGGATTCAACAATAATGAGGTGGTACATTAAATTAAATTTGTAAGAACCTATCAGGATATGAGCCAGTTGTTTTTTTTTTGACGAAATACCAATTCTAGTCGCTTTTGCTGCTTCTTGCGTAAAAAAAGAGTGACTTAGTAGAAGCTTCCGTAAGAATGTTGCAACGAATCATGGGGTGTTATTTTGCAACACTGAGCTTCCCCACCCCCCCCCCTATATTCTATTATTTTGCAACACTGCGTAATCATCGTTTTCTTCTGTTCGTTTTCTACCGACTTGCTGCTATAATTCTTACTTTTGAAAACTTAAATTTGGACTTGCAGGTAATTTTTCCTGCACTTGATATTCGTGTGAAGAATGTGGCACAGACATATTCCCTTGAACACAAGGGTGAAAGCAATCTATTTGATCAACTTTTTGAGCTTCTTAATTCCAGTACACGAAATGATGAAAGCTTCCCAAGGGAGTTAGCGTCCTGCACTGGTGCCCTAAAGACATCTGTGAGTCAGCACATGGCCAAGGAAGAAGAGCAGGTACTCTACGGTTGCCCATGTCTCCCTAATATCTTATGCAAATCTCTGATCACTAATTAGTTCCATCTTACAATTGCTGTGTTTAATAGTAGTCGAGATCTTAATTCTGTTGAAGAAATACACGAGTTTTGCACACTCAACCCTCAAGAAACAGTAGATGCTCTTAGTTTATACTACTTGTAATACCTTACCAATCCACGTTCTTACTAAGTCTGTGTATTAAAAATCCTGAATTTAACTTATAGTTTATCTGATATGATTAAATGGGACTGGTTGAGAGATATTT